GGTGTCAATTATCGCTCGAACAAATTGGTTATTCCCTCTTCCATATATGCGAACAATTAAAGTTTGCAAATATACTTCTGAACATCCTGCTTGATTTGAAAGTACTTTATTTTCTATCTGTTCGTCTTTTTTTAATTTCCGAAACTTCGACAGAAGGATTTTGTTTATTACACATAATATAGTTGCATGTTGTTTTTTACAAATAGAACAAGTTATTTTTGTTCTGCAGTTTTGAGCCAAATGGTGTAATTTTAGGCATTTATAGCAAGCACATTTTCTTTTTAAAATGTCCCTTTTTTCTTGTAATGATAAGCCGGAAACGAAACTACAGTCATGAATCTTGTGGAATTGATTACAGAATACGCAGTTCATATCTTCCTCCCTGCATTCAGATTTTGTAAACAAATCTGTAGCGGTCGGAATCTTTGGTTTATTATGTCTATTTGAGAAACCATATGCGCTTTTCGTTGCAGGGGGGAAAGAAGACTGTCGCCGATCGTATACTTTTTGCTGTTGCGAAACCGTTGACCTTGTGCGTTCGCGGGATGAAAGTTCTGCGTGTAAAAATGACATTAAATCTTTTATGTTATAATCTGTGCCAACATTTTGTGTTCTATGAAATTCAAGCGTTAATTCTGAAGGCAATAACTTCAAAATCATCGGACACAGCAAAGCGCTGTAAGATTCCGATACAACATCTAACGCTTCGAGACATCTAATCTGTGTTTGTACTTTATCATACAGGTTACGAAATGTTTTTATGTCATTCGCATTTTTTAATGATTCAATATTCAGCAAATTATTCATGTGCGCATTAATAAGAGTGTCTCTCCTTCCAAAACGGTCGTGTAAGATTTGAATTGCTGAATCATAATGTTTTGGCGATAACGGAAATCCTTGAACGCAACTAGCAGCTGTTCCTCCTAAATATGCTTTCAGGTAATTAAATTTGTCTACTTTGTTCAATGATTCGTTATTATGTATTGAGGACTCAAAACTATTCCAAAAAGTAAGCCATTGACTACTGTTCCCATAAAATACGGGAATCGAAAGTTTTGGTAATTTAACATTAGGTGTATCTTTTATATTTTGCTGTGTGTTCGGTGCATTTAAGTCATGATTAAGTTCCTTAATCCGTTTCTTAAGCCTGAATTTCCATAACGTTATCTTCTCGCGATATTGTTCTGTAATTTCGAATTCATTTTCGAATTCATCTACACTCAGAATTGGTTGAACTTCCACATCGGCATTAGATAGCGTTTCGGTTTTAGCATTAAGCTGTTCTAACAATTCTTCGAGCTCATTAATACTACATTCAGATTTATTTAATTCACTTTCGATTTTCTTAAATAGTTTTGTAACGGCAGTTCTTAAGATACTTCTTTTCTTTTTTAATTTATCTACTTCAGCCATTATCTTTCTTAGATTCAAGCACTTACACAAAAAATATACGTCTCATGAAAAACAAATATTTAACTCTTACTTAGAAAACAAAATTATTCTTCTGCTGAATACTTCAAGATCAGCTTTTGAATTCACTTTATTAGAACTTTTCAAAAAACCTCGAGTCCCTGTTCGGGCGCCATAAAAATGTTGCATCAGGTTCTTCTATTTACATAAAATTAATGTAAAATTCCTTACCTGCTGCATCTTCAGTGTTCTCGACGCCAGGCTTCTAATAATCACGTTTTCCAGTAAGAGTTTCTATTACAATTAGCAGGCCATCTTGTCTTTTAATTATTTATTGGAATAAAAAGCTAATATACACTATTTACAAGGTAGGTGATAATTATTTTAAAACAGTACATTTTTAGTTCTGAGTCTTTACGCTCCTCAGAGCGGTTCCAATCTCGACTAGTTCTCGGAACTTAATTACAGCAAAAGTAAAGGAAGAGATGCCCGCCACCTAGTGGCAAGAATGTGACAGTAACCTTCATAGAGATGCCAGACGCCCATTTTCCAACAGCGACTGGTGATCTTCTCATAAATGAGCTCAAATATCCGTACATTTGTAATTTTAATGATAAACGCCCCAAAAATTCGGTAATAAGAAGAAATGCTTGCATCAGCACAGCTGAAGAGATTGGAGCTACAGGTGAGTGGCATAAAATGTTTCTGCATTTTTAATTTATTTAACTTATTTTTAATTAATTTAATGCATATTATGTTGTGAAATAAATTACTTTAAAATTCCCTCTATTTTAACTTCTTAAGCTAAGTCTTAAAATATATTGAACCTTTAAATAAACTTATAAAGCACGATTAGTTGTATTTCCGTCAAAAATTTAAAAATATTATATTTTCCTCTCATACTACAGCTTCAGCGCCGGCTTTAGCAATTTTCCTAGGTGGGGCAAAAACTTAAAACTGCCGCCCTCACCCATCTTCCTTTAAGTTTCTCTAGCAAATTTTAATTTTTTTTAATTAAACATAGAAATAGGTAGTTTTCGAGATAAAATGTAAAATCCGTTTTATAGTAAGAAATTCTTTATATGCCATTTTTGTTCTAAAAGAAATATACATAACAAATGGTTTAGTTTCTTTACTTATGGCAAAGCATAAAAGAACTACCTGTCTAAGAGGGGAGATGTCTTCTCTGAGGTCTTTCTAAGAGTAATTGGCTCATATGCAAGTTACACGGAACGGAGGGAACACACATGCAGGCAACTAATTCGCTTGATTCTGGCCCCGACCGAATTACCAGTGTTCAGACTTTACCTCTCAGCTGCTGGTGGCCGAACATATATACCAAAAATTACATAATTAAAAACCCATGTGAACCCTCTTAATGCAGTTGCTTCTCCGTTGCGCTGAAATAATCAAATTTCCATTTACCCTGAATTTTTTTCAATATTTGCAACAATACCTACTCATACTAATAAATGATACTAATAGAAAACGATTCAGTACTAAATACTAAAATAGTTCAGCACAACATAAAAATGGGAATCACAAATTACTAAATAATACAAAATTTAATTTAAACAAATATAAGCAAACTACAAATCAAGATTGAATAATTTTGTACCAATTGCTCGATACTAACAGTAACCTACCACGTTAAATATTCATTTCACAATAACGTCTTCATGTAACCTACTCAAGAACTCTACTAACGTTCGCACAAAGCCCGATAACATAATAAATATTTACATATTCACGCAAAAGACTATTTTTGTACTGTAATTATCAAATTTACATTCTCTGAAATACGCAGTTTTGCAATATTTGCAACAATAACTAACCAGATCATGGAGGTAAGAAAGAAAGGAGGGGCCAACCCCGCACTACGAGTGAAGCACTGCTACGAGGGCTTCGTTCTCCAGATGGAGTGTTTTTGTTTACATTTAGAACCTCTTTTGACAGCGCTTTGATAGTATTTCGAAATACGACACTTCCATACAAATCGAAAAACAAGACACTTCCGCATAAAAGAAACATTCATTGTGTGATGGATAATAGCAATTTGTGTAGTTATGCTTATTCAAAATGTTATGCTTAAAGAAGACTTTAGCAAAAATGTAATTCTTAAAGAATGAAAAATACCTTATAGTACCTTTCAAATTATATACATCTTTCGATACCCTTGATAGAGTATTTACTACTTTTATTTTATCTTCCAAACGCCAAAATGTTTTCAATAAGATAATTTTTTTTGTCATCCACATATAACTGTAACATGTAATTAAAAAAAAATAGAGGAGAGGCTTTTTAGTTGCTCATTTTAAATTCATCATTTTATTTTTATATAACTCAAAAATGTTTTAAAATTTCTATGTTTTAAAATTAGAAATTAATGACCTTGTAGAGACATTAGGTTGATTGGAAGCAGGAGAGATGAAAACTTAGCAATGCCTTCGCTGGGAATCGAACCGAGGACCTCTGGAATACGCGCCCAGCGTGCAGACCACCACACCACGAAGGCATACCAAAAAGGTGGGAGAAATGCCTTATATACTCCCCCTTTTAAAGGGCGAGTTCTTTTTGGGGGGCAATTGCCAAATCCTAGGTGTGGAGAATCATCAACCACCATCCTTTTAGTTCGGGCATAACTGTAGAGATATTAAGTTGACTGGAAGCGGGAGTGATGAAAAATTAACAACGCCTTTGCCGGGAATCGAACCGCGGCCGTCTGGAATACGCGCCCAGCGTGTGCAGACCACCACACCACGAAGACATTCCAAAAAGGCGGGAGAAATTTCTTTTAACCTAAAACTGCAATAGTATATTACAGTACACGTGAAAATATTGACAGTTTCACTCACGCGTGTGTTGGATTTGCGCAATACATATGGGGTCCCACAAAATTTTTGTAAATATTATGGAGTCCTGGTGGGTCGCGAGAAAATCTTAGTGATAAAAAAGGGTCGCGACTGAAAAAAGTTTAAGAAACCCTGGTCTACCCCATCGCTGGACTGGCCATTCTGCGTCAAACGATATGCGATTTCTGGCCAATAAGATGCTCAGATCTAAACCCTTGTAGATTTTTCCTATGGTGTTTTATTAAAGACAAAAGTTTCGTACCTCCAATTCCCCGGGACTTATAGCAACTGAAGCAGCGGATAACTGAAATACTCGAATCATTAACAAAGGATATTCTATCACGAGTGTAATAGGAACTAGAATACCGTATAGATATACTAGGCTATGCTACCGGACGGGCACACGTAAAACATATAAAAAAACTTGAATAACTATAGTTTTACTGTAAATTTGATTTATCAAATTAAAGAAATTATAGCTTTCACAGATTTGTCCCATTCAATACGAAACACTTTGTATTTTGCAAGATTAGCGAATCCGTAATTTAAAAATGCCAGAATATGAACATTTGCATAGTTTAAAATGTTTTTGTAACATATAAGTCTGCGACCAATGATTGCGAAAATAAAGGGTGCTTTAAGCACTTTTATGAACATGATGTATAGGAGTATTAAATTAAGCTTTGGAAAACGTTATAATTTACTATGGAGCAGAAAAATTAGAATTTAATCACTTACTCTTCAGTGATATTAGATCTGATAAATATTCCGATGGAGACACCTGCATTGCTTGGGCAAGAAGGGCATAAACAAGTTGTTGACCGACGAAACATATTTGCCAGTTCATCCAACCTTTCAACTGTGGATATAAATAAATATCTGTATAAAACTAGGGAAAATTGAGAGAAAGTTTACATGAAAAACGTTTGAACCTGTACTTTGTGAAAAAATTTGAACATTTACTTTGTGGAACTATTTTCGTCAAGACAATTTACAAAATTTTCATTTGACATAATGTGCAATTGTTTTAAAAGAAAATAGTGCTTAAAATTATTATTGAATTCAAAATTCTACGATTTTCAGTGAAATGTCAAATTCAGTAAAAATTTTACGACTTATAATTTTTCTAATTGTTTGAAAGTTATTTTTATGTTTCGTATTTTCAAAATTATATCCCTCGTATTTTGCTGCTCTAATGCTTTATTTTTCTGTCACCCTGTTATCCCAATCTCTCTTTTGAAGGGGGATATTTAAAATATAACAAAATACAATAAATTGGCGATCTCAAAATTACGGATTCTAAATTTTATGCTGTCCCTTAAATTCATTTCTTCTCCCGGATTCAAGATCTTTCTATGTTAGTTACGTAACGTTTTAATGCAGATACCTCTTGATCAATTAAATTAATTGCAAACCAAAACTTTCTCTAACTCGAATTGAAACTATTGACTCCCTCACTTCTTTGAACTGCTGCGTTATCTTTCGCTTACGCTTCTGTGCTGGCAAGACGCAACTTTTCCACGCTGCTGCTTATTTGCCTAAGATGACGTCGTACTTTTAAAATGGAACTTATTGTATTCAACTATAATTAAGAAGTATCTTGTTCGTTCGATTTGATATGCGTAAAAAATAAAGATTGGGATTCTTCAAGCTCAGTTATGCCAAATGCGTCATTATGCTTTTCCACTCATCAGCCCTACCTTCAGCCACTACGGTCTTCTCAGCTATGATGAATATCGAAAGCTGTTAAAAGTTCCATTGTTTTTATCTACGCATTTTAAAATCATGACATAGTAGTTTGTAGACAGCACGTGTATATAACATTTGTTTTCAAACATTCATTTTGTATTGTATTTCTGTATTCTTGTTTCTACTACTTTGAAGTTTTGATGTTTTCACTGAGCTGTAATTTAATATGCGATTTACTGCCCGTGAATGGATAAAAACCACAATGTTATGATATGCTTTGCTTCCCCAATGCTCCAACCTTTCCTTTCTATTTTGTGATGTCTTGATCGCTTTTCGATCCTTTTTTGCCTCCCTTTTATCTGTCCTCTATGTTCTACGTCCATGAAAGATTTATGTGATGTGCCTATATTTCTTATTGAGCCACATACGTCGCACTTCGCGCGATATTCGCTGCATAGCCTGGTTCGTTTCAATTCAATTCAGTTGTCAGGGCCCACCAGCGGCCTAGTGGTAAATTCGTTGAACACTGGTAGTTCGGTCCGAAATTCGAATTCCGTGACCGGGCTGGTTGCATGGGCATTTTCGTAGTTTTCACTATGTGTAATGTATATACGAGCCAGTTTACCTAATAAAGTCTTTCACTAAGGCATATCTCCTCTTAGGCAGATAGCCCTCGAGCTTTGCCGCAATCACATAAACCAAAACCAGAAACGATTCAGTTCTCAGTCTAGTTTAGCACTGATTCGAATTGAGTTTAGCTCAGAATATTGAGAGATCACTCTACGAGCTTACGCACTGAGGTTTGTGTACAGTCTTGTGTTTAACATTTAGTTTGAAGTAGTAGCTATTGATTGTGCTCTGTCATACTAAGAAGAACTGCACGAGTACTTTTATGAAAAGTTCCACAACTGCAAAGTGTCTCTTTTCAGCAAATAAATTTTATCAAGCTATGATCGGTTATGTGTGCATTGAATCCCTTACAAACCCTTCTCTTCATCATCTTCATCATCCGAACAGAAACCTATACTGTCCTGTATAAACACTTAAGTCGGCCGTTAGTCTCAATGGTAAGGATGATGTTAACTATCCCGGGTTATGTTCTGTTTAGGACATGAAAATAAAATAGAAGATCTGGAGCGGCTGAACTACATACCTATTCTAAAATGTATATTTTGTAGCATTTGTTATATTTGCTATCATACAACTATTATAATTATTATTATTTAAATGTACCAGATAAATGCGAATTATTTATCAATTTAATATTTCTTAAAGGAAAACTGAAGTGATGACACTTTATTTCAGATTTAATTTTGGCAACGGTAAAAATGTTAGTTATTTTAGAATTACTTTAATGTCTGTGTGAGTAGGTAACCGCTCAAAAGCGAAAGTAAGAAAAAGTTCCATTATTTTGAGAGATGTGTTCTAATAACAAACTATTTTATGTCAAGCACTGTTTCTCATTTTTATTAAGAAGCTTAGTGTCGTCAGTAACAGATCGGTCATCTACTGTAACTGTGGTCCTCTTATAATAGAACATCTCCACAATACTCTTTCATCTCCTCAATACATCTTCTGTTTAAAACTCTAAAGCTAGTACTAAAGCTAGTACTGTTTAAAACTCTAAAGCTAGTACTGGAGGTCTATAAATCATTGCAATGTTCACATTAAACCACTGAATTCAAGTACAGAAACTACAAGCTTTTAAACAGGCCTTCGTTGGTTTAATTTCTTTCCTTAATGTAAGAAAAGCAATGTATTAATCGAGTTCCTCCATTTCTATGGTCTGTTACTTTAAGACAGGCACTTCAAGGGCATATCGGCCCTCCCCTCATTTACGATCGTAACGTGTGCGCTCTTCACCACGCAAATGCATCAAGGCAATTTTAGCTAATGAAAAGATTCAACCCTTTCCCCCGCAGCAGTCGTTGCTATCGTTACGATATATCTGTGGAAAAAATTACCTTGAAATGTCTATTCTGAAATAACAGAGTATAGCAGGGGTTCTCACCCAATACCGACTTCCTCCTAGAAGGAATTTCATAGTTTCATGGGGGTATACGGTCTTTTATGCACCTGTTAAGCATTCAGTTTTAGCTTATGAATATAAAAAAAACTACTTTTATTCAAGTTTTGGTATTTATCAACATGTCGATTCTTTTTGTTGTATAATTTGTAAGCACATTAAAAATAATCTAAATTTAAATAAATAAATATGTATTTTTTGAGTTTCGGAAGGGAGGAGAGAAGGATAGTCTAACAATGGTGAAAGGTGATTATCCCACCAACGGGCCACGCAGCGCGAATTTAGCGCCACTTATGTACTATGATCATGTCCTTTATAAGAATTCCGCAGCAACCATATTGCGACTACTGCCGAATTTTCCACCAACGATCGCCGCGATAATACGTACGTACTTTTTTAAAGTACAACGTATTACCCTATCGACTGTTAGTACTACAATACTAACGTACTTTAAAAAGTACTTACGTATTACTTTTTTTTGCCTAAGTTGCTTTATTTTACACATCTTTTAAATCATATATTTTTACATTATTTGAACGACGGTTTAAGACTATGTCAAATAATCTTCATTAATTCTTTGTTTTTAAATCGAAATTGTAGTAATTTTCTGCAACTGTATCTGAGATTACCATTTTATTTTTTTTTTAAAGGGCTGAGGAAGCATTTTAAAGACCTTGCTCCCTATGAACTTATTTAAATAAGAACAAACGAACTAAATTAAATAAAAACCGAATACTAGAAAACTATTTTTGATTGCCAAATCTTTATTTCTGTAAATTTAAAATATTTCAGCACTCACCGTTTCCTCGATCTAAGATGAATTCAGGGTCGCAAATGAAAGACGGCTCTGGCCTACCGCACATTCTCCATTCTATTTGAGGATTGGGAAATTCCATCTTCCCTGTAACGAATGGAAGCCATAGGCACAAGAACATCGCGATCGAAAGCATCTTGAACCACTCATCTAAAGCAAGACGCCAGGCTAAAAGTAAATAAATAATTTTTTTTGGCAAAAAGTTATTAAATTTGCAAATCTTATATTAGTAAAGGCGAAGAGGGAAAAAAAAAAAAAAAAAAAAAAAAAGATGTGCCGCGTGGACGCACTCAGCTCATCAAAGTGTATATTTACAGAGTGTTAAGTGTTGCCGTACCTTTTCCATATTCACTATAATATTTATATTTGGGATGTAAATTGATGAAAGTATCCGGATTTGCTTCGGGTATCTTCACCTGTAAAAATGATCACTGCTTGCAGTTGTAAAAAAAAAAAAAAAAAAAAAAAGTTCATTTGTTTTTTTCTCTCCTGGCATGTTTATTCACAAGGTTTATATAAACTGTTATAACACAGAAATACTAATTTACTATCTGAAAACGCTGACATTGATAAATATCAAAATGTGTAATATAATTATTCTTTGTTTCGAAGCAGAGGAATGGCAACAATTTGCAAAGCAATTTAAATGAAATCCCGTTTGAAGACACTTTTATTTTGGAAAACAGATAAAACGTTATTCTTATACATTTAAAATTGTGAATTTTAAGATTCCAGTAATAAAATCGATGGGGTGCCACATGATCTAAATTTATAATTTGCGTTTTGTTAACTGTTTTGAAGTTAATGTTAAGATATTAAAGAGATGAATGAGTACTTTAGTTATTATTCCTAGCTTTAGCAGTGACCTCAGTATCTTGGTTTGTATGATTCATAAAGGCGAAGAGAAAAAAAATAGCGAAGAAAAAAGATGTGTGTGGCCGGGACATGTACTACTTACAATCGGCGGTATTTAAAAAATAATAAATTACATTCAGTGAAAGACGTTTAACGCGAAAACGCTTAAGACGAAATATCGGTTAACACGAAATAATACAACGGTTCCGACAAACTGCTATAAATTTTCATGCATTTTGTTTCTCTTAACACGAAAAGATATCCTTTATGGTAATGAAAAAAATATGGAAAACACAGCCCTCGCAGGCGAGATTTAAGAGGCGTGTGAAATGAAAGAGAGGTGTTTTCACATGTTCTAACTTGGCTTTGAAATACCCTCGGAATACCTTCGGAATAGCCTGCGAACACGAGCCAGTTTTCTAAGCTACTTTCAACCACTCTTACAAACGCCACACAAGCATCTTATCAGTTGGTTTTGGAATTCGGTGACGAGCAGGGCTTAGAAGAGAAGGGCTAGCTTATAGAGCTTTTCCCCCTGAAGCAGAAAGTGAGAAGTGATGACGTAGCCATGATGACACTGAGCGCGCTAATATAATTCACAGCTTGCAAATTAGCGTTTTTGAACCAGCGTTTAAAATGAGCCGTGTGTGAAAGACAGCTATAATTTGGAAGAGGCAATGTTACTGCTTTATGCATTTTAGACTGAACCATTAAAAAAATTAATAATGCTTACTCAGTTTTAAAATAATAGATAAAATGTGCTACTCTTTTAACATAAAGTTCCGTGTTTTTTTTTTTTTTTTTTTAATTTTTATTTGCAGGTTTTATATTTAATGCACGTTTATTTCTAATCATTTCTTTATTTGCATGCTAACTGAGAGAATTTTTATACTGCTTCTAAGATAACATAATAGCAGCTATTTAAATTATTCAAAAAACAACTTTACATTGACATAGGTTTTAAACATATATGACATATATGGCAACATTTCTGCTAACTTACGTTTGATTTTTTTTTTGCCTAATTGTAAATTTTACATTGTTATAATTCTCTCTCTTCCGATTCAATATAATAGATATTTTTTTAAATAATTTTGTAATTTATACTTATATCTAAAAGTATATAAGATTGCTACCTTAATTTTGACAAAATAGCTTTATTCAGAGTACCTAAAACAGTTATTTAATTTTTCAAAAGTGTGAGTAAAGGAAGCAGGTCTTTTTATGCCAATTACTTTGATGTTTTATACTATTATATTTTATCTGGAATGCTAATCTAGCACAAAATCTAATCAATAATTAGTTACAAAGGTGTGTGTGTGTGTGATTATGGCAAAGCACCGAGGACTATCTGCCTAAGGGGAGGGATGCCTTCGTGGAGGACTTTCTAAGGGAAACTGGCTCGTATACACGTTACACATGGGGAAAACCACGAAAACGCCCATGCAGCCAGCCCGTTCGTGGGATTCGAACCTCGGACCGAACTACCCGTGTTCCGCGACTTTACCGCTCGGCCGCTGGTGGGCTTAGTTACAAAGGATACAATAAGAATAACTTTAACAAGTACTTAACAAAATTAGTTTGTTAAATACTTGTTATTCTTGTTGGTACTATTTTGGTACTATTCATAATACCGAAGATATTATCGATTAACTCATAGAAGATAGATGCTTTCTGATTTCCTGTGGGGTAGAGTATACCTTTTTCGGTACTTTTTGAAAATAATGTTTTCTCTGGAGCGACTTTTTGTCTCTCGTTTCCCTTGACCATTAAATAATTTGGTTTTAGTTTGTGACACAATTTGATTTCTTCTCAATCTCTATGTAAAACCCCCTTTAATAATATCAAATTTAAAACAGTTACATCTTCTAAAACAAATCCTCTATCTAAAACGCGGTTTCTCAGTAATTTGAGGCAGAGCGCGAAATGAGACCTCTGATTAAAACAAACTGCACATTTTGAAAAGAACCAATTTAGTCCAGTTTAGAGTCATAGCAAAGTTTTCAATCTATATGCATTTCGTCGAAACTGAGAACGCCTATTTTTTCTACAGAATACAAATATTCGCCTCTTTCCTCCTTTAGAGTAAGAACATTACTTTAAATTCTTGGACTACACTAAAATTTAGAAAACACTAAAAAATAAAATAAACACCATTTCTTTAATTTGATAATACTAGGTAAAGATATTCCAATTTTTTTTTTCTTTCCAAAAATCATAGCTTAAGATGACAGAGCTCTTATGACGGATGCAACGTGAAATATTTTCACTAGTCCACCTGATTTTATTCTTCTTTTTCAGTAATGCATTAATCTGCATCTTTATAAAAATAGGCTTTAGACATTTTTCCAAATTCTCCGATTTGTGCTCCCCCCCCCAATTTTGCTATTTCAGATTTTAATTTCTGATTCCAATTTCTGTCTAGATGTCGTCCACCTTCTTTGTCGCTGAACAAACATTCTAAAATTTTTCTTTTCTCTATTTTTCAATACTTTAATACAATTTTCTAAGGATATTATTTTGTTCTTCAAATTATCAATGCATTCTTGTTTATCCTTAAACATTCAGGATGATCTACATTTTTATTTGTGAGTTTTATTTCAAAATCATTAAAATTTGATTTATTATTGTCATCATCAATTTCGATTTATTATTGTCATCATAATTTACTTTCGGTACAGCATTCCATTTCAACAGTTTCTTTTAGTGGCTATCCAAACAAGCGATTTTTCATATCATCTTCATAAACACTGCATAGAAAATGTTCTCTGCAGATTTTTCCGCTCTTCACATTAATAGAATCTTCTCTTTGACATTTGTGTATCCATTCTTTCGTCAAAAGCAAACTCTCATTTGGATCCTTTGGTCCCATGAAATAAAATATCTCATCCTTTCATACTTCTGTAAGTGCTACGGCACGTTACTGCAGCACAAAAAGCCATATTACGTAAACGATACTTTACAATATAGAATTTAAAATAAAAACTTAAAATAAAAACTGACTAAAATTACACATATATAAATTATTTAAATATATACATTATTAGAAAACAGATATATATATTATTAAAATTAATTTGGGATATGTAACCTCTAGAAAATCGTCTCGCAGCTCAATGAAACTAATGTTTTAAACGCGGGAAATCAGGACAGGTGGCATCACAGTGACGTCAGATTATTGCCTGTTACGTCCCCCCCCCAATTAGGCTCGCGTCGGCGAGGAGTCGAACAAGGAAATGAGCTAGCCCTTCTATTTATCCCTGGTGACGAGTACATCGCAGTGTGAGTAAAAATCTGTGAGTTTGGTTCATGTGTTGCACTCTGCATGTCTCTATCTCTTCATATGTTGCACTCTGCATGGAATTCAGGGACTCCAAGAACGAATGAAAATTGTTTTCGCCATGCACGATTCTTTAAAGTATCAGATTCTTTGGGGCTAAAAGAAATGAAGAAGGATTAAATTGAAATTGAGCCGGCATTTAATGAAATGTTTGAGAAAGTTTCTGTATTACTGGACTGTCCTACTGTATTATTGGAAGAATTCGTTGCAGTAGTTGATGATAATGCGTGTATAACCCCAATTATGGCAAACAAAGATATTTTGGAGTTTGTTCAAAGCTCAAAAAATGTCATTGATGCAAATTTCCGACACGAAAATGAAATGAATAATCCAGCTCCTGTTCCCACGTCATCCGAAATGAGGAACATCATGAAAAGTTTGCGCAGTTATTTAGACGCATATTTTAATGGTGAAATGAATAACAAAATGGAATACATTGAATAATTTGTTAGCAGTTTGATGCTAAAAAAGACAATGCAAAGAAAATATCAGATTGTTTTCTAAAAACTCAAAAAATGTTTTGTTTTTTCAAAAAGCTTGAAAATTTTGTATTAATTAAGTTCTTGTGGATGTTTTTGTTTCAATGATTTTTATTAAATGCATGCATATATACATATCTATATAAATAAAATGTACTCTAATAAACTTAATTTTGTTGAATATATATATATATATATATATTATATAATATATATAATTTTTCAGTATCCTTTAACACGAAATTCTTTTAACGAGAAAAAATATTTCAGTATAAGAGAGACCATTGAGCGGTGAAAAAAGTTTAGGTCTCCCTGTGCACCCGATGAGTTAGTATCAAAATTAAGCAGTCAAAAAAGTTCAGCTCTCTCCATGCGCTCGAAGAGAGTTAAGACGAGTATTAACAAATAAAAAGAAAAATATTCGAGACTGATCATCGGGGATTGAAAACAAAGCTTGAACGTTCTACAGGACACATACACATTGGTTGGTCATT